TGAACGAGCCGGGACGGGTCCGACTCCCCCCTCCTGCCGCAGTCAACTTGCACCCAGCCCAGGGTGGTGGGCACCGGCGCTGAAGGCTAAGGAATTCAGCAATGCTACGATTTATGTTTCTCCCACGGTCTGGGATGTCCTTCCTGGAGGGAGGGGGTACTTGTACTGTTCCACGCTAAGGTGGGGCACAGCCGGTGTGAGGCCTTTCTCCCAAGGGCCCCCGCAGAGCCCCGGCTCCGGCCCGCGCTTCCCGCTGCGAACCCGGCTGCTCGTCACTTTCCTCTTTGGGGGCGGGGTCGTGGCGGTGTGGCTGTACTTGCGGAGGGAGAAGGCGCAGCGGGAGAAACTGATGCGCATCGAGGAACTGAAGAAGGTGGCCGTCGGGCAGGGGGACTTCCGTTTGGTGGACCACACGGGGCGGCCCCGCTCCAAGGCCGACTTCAAGGGCCGCTGGGTCCTGCTCTACTTCGGCTTCACCCACTGCCCCGACATCTGCCCGGAGACGCTGGAGAGGATGAGCCGGGCGGTGGAGCTGCTGGACCGGGAACCGCGGCTCCCCCAGGTCCAGCCCCTCTTTGTTACGGTGGACCCCGAGCGGGACGACGTGGCGGCCGTGGCCAAGTATGTCCGGGAGTTCCACCCGCGCCTCCTGGGGCTGACCGGCAGCCCGGAGGAGGTGCGCGAGGCCGGGCGGGCCTACCGGGTCTACTACAGTGCCGGGCCCAAAGACGAAGACGACGACTACATCGTGGACCACACGGTGATCATCTACCTGCTGGGCCCGGATGGGCTCTTCCTGGATTTTTACAATCGCAGCAAGACCGAAGAGCAGATTGCGCAAAGTGTCAAGGGCCACATGGATACCTACAAGAGCCTCTTGAGCTGAGGCGGCGTGCTCTCCAAGCAGGCGGGGTCCGGGGACCAGACAGGCAGCCCCTGGGTCGTGTGGAGAAGAACTTCTGTTCGCCTCCTACCCTGGCGTCGGGGCCTCCCTCACAGTGGGTGTGCCTGGGGCATCGTGGGTAGGTAGTCAATCCAGCAAGTTCCCAGGAAGGCGGGTTTGCAAATGAGCGTCCTGCTGCCTATCTCTGGGGTGAATTTACAGCCAGTGCAGTGTAGTCGACAGAGTGATGGCTGAGGAGGCTGGGCAAAACGGGTTTGGATCCCCCCCTTCCTAGGGCTATTTTGGTAGCAGGGACTCCTTTGCACATTAGGC